TGTCATTTGATTTCTTTAATTTTAGTATTGATCATTAAATTATTACTTATTTGATATTTGATATGAATTGCCTCTCACATCTTACTATGAAGGATAAATAGCAGAATAATAAATGAATAATAATAATACAATATTTTAGTATATAATAAGATAATTAATAGAATATATTCTATTATTAAAAAATATTTTATTTCAAAAAAATAAAAGATTATAGTTTAAGAAAAATTGTATTTTTAGTAAAGAATGTTTGATACTAAACTAATTGTACTTCTAATTTTTTAAATTCAAAATTGTATTTAAACTTGTAATTGTTATTTTATATAAACTATACAAATAATAAAATTATTTATTGCAATAAAAATCTACGATTATAGAAAATTAATTGCTATATTCTTAATGTTCATACAAATTCTAGCACAATTAACATGAAAAAAATTATATATCTCTGATGGTAAATTGTTTCATAGAGAATTTTTCATAAATTATTAAAAGGTAAAAAAACAAAGCTATATCTACCTAAATACCTAAAGCCAACTAGCAAAAATGTCTAATTCTTGACTAATAATGTTATAGAATTAATTGTAAGTTGTGAATTAGATGATAACTAAAAGGAGGAAATTTTATTGAAGCAGTCTAGAGAGTGATGATTCTTTTATTTGAAACAAAAATACTAATATAAGTCAAAAATGAGAATTGAAGAGAGGATTTTATATGTAATAGATTTTTTGGCTTTATCACAGAATTGCTGGAAAATCCTTAATAGGACAGGACCATATGGTGTGTTTTTATTTGGTAGATTGGGTATGTCTATAAAAAAAATTAAATCTATTATTTTTGAAGACAAGACAAAATAATTTAAAATCCTGAAATGCAAAAATAAGATTAAAAATGTAATTAAACTATTTTGATGCAAAATCAACTCTAATGTAAGGAGGATCAGAGAATATTTCATCTCTTTTAATCAAATTTCAACTTCTAAAAGCTTAAAAGAGGCAATCAAACAAATAAGAAAATAAATTATGTTAAAATCTTGCTCTTCAAGCTTTTAAATTTTTTCAGAGATTAATCATTAAATAGGTAAATTCAATTTTTTAAAAGGAAAGAATACAATTAAAATTTGATAAAAAGAAGAAGATACCGTAAAATAATAAATAGAAAAATGATAATAAGATAATGATTTAGTGATGAAAAATAAAAGCTACAAATAATAAATCAACTCTCAATATAATTAAAGGATTAAGAATAGAATAACCTTGGAAGATAATGAGAAAAGGGAGAAGAGAAAAATAGAAAACATTTAGCATTTTTAGAATAAACAAATGATGTTGTAGATCTTCATGATAGAGAATCAAAGGAAGTTTATTAAGTAATGAAAATCAAACATTAAATTAATAATAATAAGATTAAAATTAGAAATCCCAGGATATCTATAAAAGCCTAGTTTATACCGATATTGGGATAATACTTCTGAGCATTCCTAAAAGCATAATTATGCTAAGATAAGAATATGAAAAGGGGCTTTACGTATAGGAAAAACAAATCGATATAAGGACATGCAGCAAGGAATCGTTAGAGAAACAAATAAATGTTTGAGGATCTTTAACATTAAAAAGACAAAATATATGAAGAATATGTAAATATTTATTCTCTGATCTTAAAATTCATTGCTTTAAATTCTATCGTAATAATGAAAAAATTTTTATTAACTTAATTTGAGTCTATGAAATATAAATCAATCAAAGACTACTTCTCATTTTAGAAAAAAAAAATCAATAAAAATGGAAGGATTATAATATTTAGATGAATTAAAATAATAATACCCTATTAAAAATAATTTTTTGTTTTTTAGAAGAAATACCAATCATAAAAATAAAAAATAAGATAATAAAGAGAACCTAAGTGCTAAAATCAGAGTAAAGATTGTAAATCAGATGACTTTAAGGTAATGAATTCAAAAATTCAATTATTGCATACATAATAAATGTGACTTCTGGTCAAAATGAGAAAGAATAACATGATGCTTCAATTAAAATACACGCCGCAAGTTATTGAAACAACTTTTTAACAACAAAAATGGATCATATCTGAATGTAGCAAATGTACAAAATTTAGGATGATATTTATAGATGAATTTTCAATAGGGAACATTTTAAAATAAAGCAATAAGTTGAGATATCTAGAGGGTTCAATATGGGAATCATTTTAACGATATAAACTATTATTTTCTTTAATTACAGCAATTGAACAAAATGATTTTTTGTTGTTAAAAATTGAAAAACTGGCAAAACTTATTTATAGACACTATTGCTAAAATTAGTTAGAGAATGCTAATGGGCATTAAAAATAGCAAAAATTTGCTCCTGTATTGGATAATGCAGCTATTCACAAAAATTAAGTTGTAAAAAGTGTATACCCCATGTTGATGAATCCTTCTAGGAAAACTTATGAAATGGAAAGAAACATTTCACGGAGCCTAGCATGAGTGTATATGCGTGTATACAAAATCTTTATAAAAATTTTTTATTGAATTTTTATTAATGTAATTCCAATATTATATAATTTAGCAATATACATTGATAAAATTATTTTATTTTGTTGAGAAAAATGAATTTTAGCAAAGTCTGCATCGAATAATTATCTAAACACTCTGATCTTATAATTTCAATATTGGATCATCCTCAAGTATGAATTTTTTTTTTCAAACATCTTTTATTTCTTATTTGTGTTAAAACTTTCTAAGCTATGGAGAAATGGAAAATATAATTACTTAATCCCAATTATAATTAATTATTAAATTTGTTTGGTATAGAAAAATAATTTTAATAAAAGAATAATAGTTAATTAATGTTTAAGTATTTTAAATCATGAAAGAAAACAACATTTGAGTAATTCTTTAACCGAATATAAAGGATTAAAATTGTGGATATTTGCTGCATTTGTGTCAAAAAATTTAATGTTTTTGACTACAATGATAAATTGTATTTTAATGTATTGATTACTAATTAGAAATTTTAATTTTATTACCTCTATACTTTATCCTCTCTATTGAAACATCAGAATGATAGACTTTAAATCTAAAGTTATTTGGTTAACTAATTTATTAATATATGAACAATGTAAAAAAAAAGATTTTCCCCATCTAATATAAACTTATCAAGGCCGAATTGAAGCTTTACTCTTTAAATAGGTTTCCAAATTGAATAACCAAAATATCATTCATGTAAGATAAACATTGAGATCTTATGGATTTTGTGAAGAGTTGTGATGAATTTTAATGAAGAATAAAATGTATTCCAGAGCTTTCAAGTGATGTAATACATCAAAACTACTTTAGAGAATTTCAAAATCTTGATAAAAAAATTAAAGTATCATATCTAAACCAGTAGAAATTTTCATATTTTTGATGTATTTATAAATATCAAGTTTTTGGAGAGGCCATAATTAGTTTAATAGTAAAGAAGATATACTACTTATTTAAATTTTAATAAAAACGATTTTTACATTAAAATTATTGATTAACAATTCGAATTAAATATATTACTATACTCTATATTAACTTTTTATTGTTGTAAGCAAAAAAAATTAGCTAGTATTTAATTATAAATTAATTAAATAAGAGGTTAATGATCAATTAGTAAATATATTTTGTAATTCAAATAATAACATGATTTCAAATTCTTATGAAGAACGTTAAATTAAATAGTATTAAAAGCTTTAATGTCATATTATGGTGGAATTAAACTGAAATAAAATTCAAATCCATATGAAATTTAGGCTTAGAATTAATAGTTGGATTTGTAAATATTCCATTATTACTAATTAATATACTTCAACACTTGTTTAATTTAAATTAAATATAGACAATTTTATTTAAAACTTAATTTATTTTTTGATAAGTAAATATTTTTCTATAAGAATTATTTAGTTTATTAAGACTTCTAAAGTAAATTTATCTACAGAATATTTTTGGTAAATTCTACTGGCAACTATAAGTAAAAGTATATTACTGCTAATTATTGCATCTAAAATAAATTTGAATGGAGTTGTTTATATTTAGATTTTTTTGGCATTAGGCTAGAATTTCTAAGTTTAATATGGAAATGTTTAAATCTAATTCTATTTCATTTTTACCTAATTTTAGGGTTTCTTAATCTATTTAATTATATTTAATGAATATTATTTGAAATATTTTATGGTTATTAAACTATGCTAAGCAAATTCAAAGGGAATTTTATTATAATAAATACATTCTCCTTTAAAAATTACCAAATCTTTAATAAATACAGTACATTATTTATAACTAAGTCCTTAGTATTTTTCAAAATTAATAGAACATCTTCTGACATAATAATCAAATTCATTAATTCCCATTATTTAGTTAAAGTTAAATTAGATTGAGTTTTAATATAAACTTCATTAATGATTAAGAATGATTCCTTTAAGCTCTAAGATTTATTTATCTAATATGTTATTTTATTCCTCCACAGTTTATATTATGGGTTGATTAATTTAAATGTTCCATTTATAATTCTTAATCGTCAAGCTTAAGAATAAATTAATTATTCTCCCAAATGTCAAACAATCAAAATTTGAATTTTAAACATTAAAATGGGAGATAAATTGAAAACTGTATAATCAATCGTTTAATTTAATCCTCCAGCTATAATAAGACCAGCGCATACACTTGAAGAGAGTGTTTTGGTATCATCTATTTTCCATTCATCAAACTCACATAGCATTATGTCATTTAACAATACAACATCATTTTGGGCATTACAATATTTAAATTTAATATTTATTTATCCCCCCTCGTTTAAATTTGATATTATTTAAAATTTTTTCATAATAATAGTCGTTAACATTATCATCTAAGTTATTGATAATCTTCTTTATTTTTTTAAATCTTTATTTAAGTTATCATCAAAGTATATTAAAATGCATTCTTTTTCTTATTTATTCAAACTATCTATTCTAATATACAAAAATGTCAAATATATACTTCAAAAATAAAAATGAAACTTAATTTGTTTAATAGTGAGGAGGAAGACTTGAATTGTAAGTAATTAATGTATTACAAGGGAATGTTCATTAAACTCCAAAAAAAGTCTCATTACCACATTTTCTGGATAATATTGCGATATTGCTGTCTTCAATATGCCATCCTAAATTATAATTACTTTTATATACCTTTTTATTGAAATTATCTTCACTGAAAGCCTTGTATATAATTTCAAATCGATTTTCAGCATTTAAGTATACCATTCTTAAAAAGAACAATAAGGAAAGCATATCAAATTATATAATGATTTTTTATATATTCATTATTTATTAAATTTTCAACAATTGTTTTTTTCTCGATTCGCAATAACTATTATAATGTGAGTTTTATTTAAATAATTTATAGGCGAAAATATTTAAATATTTAGAACCTCTTAAATATACTCTTTTTTATAAATTTTGATGTCAAAAGTAGGAAAAAATTATTGAATAGAAAATTGATATTATGGGTTTCTAATCTTCAAATAGAAATTACTTACTTAGTATTGTAAATGTACATTTGCTTTAAGTGTGTTGTGAAATTGTGAAATCTTAGAATTACTTGATGGCCTGTTTTGTTTTAAAGAGCTTTATCATTAAATTCTCTATTAGTTAGCTCTAAATTTTAAATTTAATTTATTTTTTGTAATAATTTTTTGATAAACAATATTGATTAAAAAAGAAATAGACTTTGAATAATTACATTTTTTGATTGAAAAGAATTATTACTTTATGATTTTTTTTGCCTGGACAAGGATACTCAATTTACTTTTTATTATCCCATATTAATTAGAAATTATATACGCAAATTTTTAATTAATTAATTAATCTTTATCACACATTAGTGTCTTTTTAGTCAACTTCATCAGTTAATACTTATTGATAGAAAAAGAGCAATATTTGATCTTAAATTTTATTTAATTAATGTCAATTAATATTATACAAAAATAAACTAAAATATTTATTTTATCTGAACTTTTAAAGAATTTAAAGTTTTTAAATGTATATGAAAGTAATTCAAATTTGGTCATAGATTAAATAATTGCCTTTAATGAAGTGAAAAAGATATGTTTCAATGATTGCAGATCGAATAATTATCATTAAGTATTTTTTTATATGAAGACTAAAGATTGGTTAATTTATTGTAGAAAAAATTTTTTATTCAATTTTAGCATATTCAATTTCTTTTTAATAAGTTTAAAGGTTGATATATCATTAATTAAAAATAGTTAATAACTTCTTATCTGAAACTTTGAATTATTTTGAATAATATTTAAAAGGAATTAGTACAAATATCATTTATAAACAAGTAGACTTAGATCTCAAGAATATCTAAAAATTTACGTAATTCAATCAAATTTTGATTGTGTAACTTTTTAGGTTATCTTTAATATATATAGAAAAAATAATAATGTTAAAAAATATTGGAATAATAATAATATTAAAATAATTAAGAAGATATTCACCTCCTTAATTATTAAATAAATCAGCAAAGAGTTTAAAACTGTTGATCAGATAATTAACTGAATAGTGAATTTGTCTTCACAACTGTCTAATTTTTCTTCTCTCTTTTTACTAATTTTGAATCAGCTAGTCTTCCTTTAATAATTATTTCAAGTTTTTGATTAATTCTTCAATTTACTAAAGTTTTTTAACCAATTATTTTTTTAAGTGGTACTACATTTCTTCGAATTGCAACCTTCTAAATTGATTATATGTATTTATCTATTGCACCTTGACTTTATAAGCCATTAACCTAATTGTATGACTATTAAGATTCTTTCAATTAAATATTATAAAGGATTAATGGATGAGAAAATTTTTCTTTAGGCAAAGCTAATTTTAACATAATATTGCCCATACAACATTAAAAGTTTAAGGGTTAAAAGAAATTGATTCGTATAAGGAGCTGATCTTAAAACTTTACCTTATTTTTCCATCACTATTACATTGTTTTTTTAATAATAATATATTTCCCATAATCTTGATTACCAGATATTGACTTTCATTTTTCTTACTGTAATTATCTATCTTTTTTCACAAAATTTTTTCAAAATCATTTTTTATTTTTATTTAGATAACATTGGCGACTTTAATTATTAATTCACTCATGCTTCTGTATTATCTGATTTAAAATTGTCCAAGATATTCTAAATATAATCCACTACCCTCATTTATTGTTCCTTCCCAATTTTTGTCCAAAAGTTTCAATATCTTAATCTCATCTCTCTCTTCTACTTTTACTTCTGCAGCTTATATGTTTATATTTTCTTAAATATCTACAAACAGATCTGCTTTTCCTTTATATTGGACCTTAAAAAATACCATTCCTCATTTTGCTTCTATTCATTAGTAGATATGCTATTATGAAGAAGTATATTACTGATTTATAAAGATTTTATCATTCACAATGATAATCATTAATTTGCGTAAAAAATCTTTCATTCTAATCAAAATTTTACTTAAATTCCAATACGCTTTTTAAACAATGATATAGAAATAGTTCTGAGTCATAGAGAAAATTGACTATTCTTATTTGTTGATGAAATTTTTAAATTTTATGTTCATATAATGTTACCTATTGAATCAACAGAGTATAAATTTCATCTTTTATTTTATATTGTTATGGAATATTTTTGAGCAATCTCGTAAATTCTTAATTTTTACGATATCTAATTATATCAAGCATTATCATTTAAATCGAAATGCAATAAATATTTAAATGAGGAATTCTGAAATATCAGATAACCTGATTCGCCAAGAGTTTAAAATATAGGAAAATTGTAATAAATAATTAGAGGTTGATATGTGGGATTAAATTCACTTCAGACTTGTGAAAGTTAAAGTCCAAATAACATTTACTTAAGATAACTTTATCTATTATTCGTTTGATGGGAAGGTGTTGAGAATGTAAGAGATCATTCTTTTTATAAAAAGCGAATAGCATCCAGAAAACTAAAAGCATCATGATCAATTTAATAATATTGATTAGATAAAATATCTTCATTGGGTTGGAGAGTTTGGATAAAATAACAGAAAGTCTGGTAAATGGAAAGCTAATTGGTCAGGTCCAGATTGTAAAATAGTTGGGGGTTACTATGAGAATGGTTTAAAGTAAGGTTTATGGAATGAATTTACTAAGAATTATTGGAGGTATATTTGCTATTCATTTTAAATATAAGTTAAGCAGAAATATGTGAAAATGGAGAATATTTCAATGATTAAAAAATTGGAGAGTGGAAATATATCTATGACAATACAATTATGTATAATTATATATTAATTCTATAGAGGTGGAGGATAATATAATAAATAAGGACAAAAGTAAGGTAAATGGATAGAGTTGAGTGATGGATTTTTTAATTCCTCATAAGTCACTTATTATGGTGAATATCAAAATGGTAAGAAAGTGGGTATATGGGATATTTTTTTTAGGGAAAAAAGGCAGAAAATATTTCAGTAAATGTAAATATTAAAAGTATCAAATCTTAGTGGAGGTGGATCATATGATATCGGAATAAAAAATGGGATGTGGATTGAGTTGAGTGATAGATTTCAAATTTATTCATAAGTTACGTATCAAGGTAGATATAAATAAGGGAGAAAAATTGATAGATGGGACATTCATTTTAATTATGAAGGCAAGCGAAAGATGTAAGATAAATTGCTAAATATTAAAAATCAAATTTTAGTGGTGGTGGATTGTATGAAGAGATTTAGGGAGACTCAATCAAGATTGGAAATTGGGTTGAGTTAAACGAATAGTTTTCGAGCACCCACTAAGTCACTCACAGTGGTGAATATCAAAATGGTAAGAAAGTGGGTAGATGGGATATTTTTTTTCGGGATAAAAGGCTAAACAGATCTCTAAAGATGTAAATTATTAAAATTATCAAATCTTAGTGGAGGTGGATTATACGATACAGGAGTTAAAATTGGAATTTGGATTGAATAGAGAGATGGCTATCACTACTATTCAAGACTCACTTTTCACGGTAGATATCAAAATGGAAAAAAAGTCGGTAGATGGTATTTATGGGCTTTGTAATAATATGAGTAAACTTTTGAATTATTAATAAGAAAAAAAAAATATTTTCATGGTGGATTTTACGATGAAGTTAATGGAGGTTCAAATAAGATTGGAAAATGGATAGAATATAGTGATGGGTTCAATGTTTATTCACAAATCACTTATGAGGGTGAATATAAAAATGGTAAAAAAGTTGGTAAATGGGATACTTGGTATTACAAATAAGGAAGACAACCTTAGGAATTAATGTAAAAGATAAATAATAAATATTTAGCGGTGGTGGAATGTATAGTTATTAAGGCCTAAGGAATGGTAAGTGGGCAGAATTAAGCGATGGATTTGAAGATAATTCATAAGTCATTCTCTATGGTGAATATAAAAATGGTCACAAAATTGGTAGATGGGATATTTTTTTTAGAGAGAATAAAAGAGAAACCAAATAATTGATGTAAAAAGATAAATAATAATTTTTTCAGTGCTGGTGGATTTTATAATGAATAGGGCTAAAGGAATGGTGAATGGAGAGAGCTGAAAGATGGATTTGAAAATAATTAACAAATCATTCTCAATGGTGAATATAAAAATGGTAACAAAATTGGTAGATGGGATATTTTTTTTAAAGTGGAAGAAAGAGAAACTTATGAATTAATGTATAAATACTAGAAAAGGTTTTAGCGGCGGAGGCTTGTATTATGAGGTATAAGGAGGTTCAATAAAGGCTGGGTAGTGGATTGAGTTAGATGATGATTTTGAGTTTAATTAATTATACACTTAAAAAGGTGAATATAAAAATGGAAATAAAGTTGGCACATGGGTGAAAATGGATATTAGGAAAAAATAATTGTGAAAAAAAATAATTTGATTATTGAATAATAATAATATAAATTATCAATTCTTGCTCTGCAATATAAAGAGAATAAGGAATAGTAAAGTAATTGCGTAAATCAATTTTATACTGAAGTTTTGTCAGGATTATTCTGATTTATCATTAATTTAAAGTCTTTTAATTTTACTATTTTTAATAAATGTATTATAGCGATTAATTCATATGAATTGATAAATTGAAGATTCCCGCAAACATAAGTCTACATAAAAAAAAATACATTATGTATCAATATCCATTATTTATCCTGGACATAAATTTGAGCAAAATGATGGTAAAATAATGTTAAAATTATGTTAAAGAGTGATAATTAAATTTTATTGATTTTATTAAAAAAAGAGTAAAAAATTATGATTATAGCCTATTATATATATACATATACTATTATCAATGTCTAATTTTCATCAAAGTTTCACTCATCAACCATCATTTTTCTTACTTTTTGTGATGCTTCTTATTTGTAATACAATTTTTTGTTAAAGTCAAAACTATTTTCGATTGATACCAATTTCAAATTCTTTCCATCAATATTTTTATCATTTTTTGAGGGCAGCTTCCAATTAATTTTTATTTCAATATCATAGTTTCCCTTTATTTTGGACAACAAAGAAATTTATGAATAATTTATTTCCATTAAGCATTAATTTTATTCATGATTCCTTTTTTATATAGAAAGAACAAGATTAGATTTTGGGTTTAATTTACATATTCTACTGTTAATTTTATAATTTTATGATAATCTTCTAATTTAGAATGCTTTCTAGGGCTTGTTAAATATTAAATGGTATATATTTGTACCTTTTGCAATATTATATAATGAGCCTTTAGGGTCTGTTTGGTTTAATTTCTTATATTCTATGAATAAAGAATATTGTACTCAATATTTTTAATTTGTATGAGATGCATTAAGAAAATTTTTTTCTAAATTATCTAATTTAGTTTCTCCACTTATTATATTTGTTTGTCAAAAATCAAGACATTTAATTGAAAAAACTAGAATTATATTTGTGCAATAACAATATTACAATTAATAATTAATTAACTTAAATTATGAATGATTAATATTTGGAATCTTATAAAAAATACTTATTGTATGAAGTAAATAAAATATTTTAAGTTCTTAATTAGAGTTCATCAAATTTACTATTATTCTTATTATTCAGTCATAAAATTAATAAGGAAATAAAAAATTCATAATATTCGGATTTTGGTTCACAATATTAGTCGAGAAAATCTTGTCTTTGTGAAAATTATAAATAACCAAAAGAAATTAAAATTATTGAACTAAGAAAAAATCTTATGTTCCTTTGATATTTAAAAAAAAAAATTTAAAAAAACTTTAAATAATCTCACCTAATAAATAATTGTGTTTTATTAACAATATTGTATAAGGAAGTAGCGATTTTAGTATGATTTCCCACCATCAATTAATACATCTTCAGAGTTAATCTATTGATTATCAATAGGATTAAATGAAACTATTTTTGAATAAGATGAAGATTGAGGAAATAAGATAGATACTAAATCACTGATAAACGCTCATTGAAAAATTTTGTACAATTAGTAACCCAACCTGAAAGGATATATTTCAAGTGTTTAAAGGTATCATTAAATTCTTTTACAGCGCAATTAGATGTTGTTATCTAAGTTTCTTTACAATTGCTATCTAATACTTTTAATAAACCCCAAGTAGTAATTGTTCCCTCATTTATTTTACTATTAATTAATAAGTCAATACATTATCCTCCATTTATTTTTTATCTAGCTTTCCATCTACTACATTCTTCATCAGTTGTTGCTTTCTTTTCATTGCATAATCTAGCTCTACATTAATACTTGTAGCGTCTCCAGCTCATTCTCCATCTGTAACACTACATCCTGTAAAACTTATAGCACTTCCAAATCTTGTTCCAATACATCCCTTTCCTGATGTTACACATTTATCCTAGTACAAAGAGCAACTCTTATTAGTCTTAAGTGTATCAGTGCCTGTGAACGCATGAGCTCTACAATTATTACTTTCAAGATTAAATTCACAATTTATATCTGATCCTACCACTTTGAACATCTTTTTGAAGTTCCTTATTAATACTACATTCTGGAATTATATCAATGCATCCAGCTACAACCAGTTTTGAAAATATTAAAAGCTACTTGAGTTGTAAATAAATAATCAGCCTCAATACAATTATCATATCTACATGCTTCTCCATCAAGTCTATAGCCAAATAAAAGTCAATAATTTATCAACCCACTTGAATGGACTCTTCGGTTTCATATTATTTAGTTTATCCAAAATCTTTAAGTGCATTTGTATGTGATGTTCCATTTGCTATGCACAGTTAAGATATGTTTTAGTAGTACGAATGTTTATTTTTCACATTGAGCTGAACATCCTGTGAAATTTTTTCAATCAAGGCACATCCAAAATAGTAGGATGGCTCTATTAATGAACAATTTAGTGTAAGAGTAACAGGAATAGGTATTATTGTTTTTCCAAAAGATCCTTGTGTTATATAAGTTTTCCCAGTCTGAGTACATCCATGTGATTAACAAACTATAGATGATTTGAATTATGTGAATTCATCACATTAATCTGTTTTTTTCATATTCATTTACTTAGTTTTAGTAAAATATTATTAGTAATTTTTTAGACTATTAATTTCAATTAATATCTTATTATAAAAACAGAATTATAAATATAAATAGTATGTAATATATATATAATCAAAACAAATCCGATTAATAAAGAATAGGCACTCTTGAATAACATTGCTTAAAAAGAACCTTTTCGACAAGAAAAAGATTTAATCTCCCCATTGAATTGTGATATTATGAAAAGGCTGAGAACATATTTTTTTTGTGAGGAATACAAAAAGAAGAAAAAATATGTTAAAAGGTTATAAAATGTAGCAATAGATTATTATGAATAGGCCATTTTAATAATATAAATCAACAATTTTAGGCTCTAGATGTGTGATTTTCTAAACAAAATAGTAAATGCAAATATGCTAGTCAAATTTCTGCTAGAATTAAAATATTTCTATTTTATTTTTTAAATATTTCTTAATTGAAAAAAACAAGATTCTTTCTCTTGCACATTCATTTCCTTAATGATCAAAAGGATACTTTTTATAATTTTAGAAGACAAAGCTGGCAAAAATAAAATATCCATAGTCTAAACATATTTAAAATGATTAATATTTGATTAATTTCTTACACCATTTTTATAATCATTTTAGTGAAAAAATACAGATTTGAAGAATAAAAAATAAAGGTTTTTATAATATTTTTAACCTTAATCGATAATCTATAAAACGTATAAACTAGTGATTATGTGTTGATATTTATTTTTTAAGATTATTTACTTTAACAAATAACTCGATGTTATAATCTTACTTTTAGATTTAACTTCTTAAATCCATTTCTAAGAGAAATTCGCCAAAGTATTTATTCTAATTCTTTAGTTGTTGTATCAATAAGGAAAATTGTGATTTTGGATAAGAAATGTATAGATATGATTGAGAACAATTCAAAATTTAAATATAAAAATGTATAATATTAATTTAAATAGCTAAGACTAAATATATTTATTAATAGAAGGACATTTAACGTAAATAAAATTATTTTAAGATTTTTATAATTGAGTACAAAATGAGTCTGGAACAGAAGGATATAAAAATGAATTCTCAAAATTAAACAATTTTACACGAGCCTAATCAACAAAAAGTTATTTAGAAAATATACAAGTACTAAGAAGTAATTAGGGTTTCCATATAGTAAATTAGCATAAATTAATAAAATTCATAATTTCCTAATTAAGTAAAATTATGGCCAGATAGAAAATGCTTACCCTTGCATCTCCCATCTTTTTTTTCACCTATAAAGAATGGAAAATAAATAATTTTTTGGATTCTGGAGATTATTAGAGAGTTGAAGTAGTAACGGATTATTCCAAAGTGATGAGAATTTTTTTGGAAAAGATTTAGGAACATTCAAAGTCCATCGAGGAAGTATATAAATAAGTACCTTTTAGTCTGTTTTATACTTTTGAAGCTTTTATAATCTTATAGATCTTCATTAATAGATGGTGTAAGGAATTTATGATATTTAAGATGTTTCAAATTTCACGCAGCTTTTTGAAGAAAGGTTTAGGCAGTAAGCTTCGACTTTACATCATAGACATGAGCGAAGGAAGGGTCTCTAGTCGTTTCACATCCGAATCAACCTAACTCTACATATCATCAATTAATAATATAAATCACAATTATTCTCGAATCAACCAATCTAAAAGGTTCTTTTATTTTTCATTTGACTTTCAAGATTAGTGACTAAATTGATTAGATCAATTATTTATCATAAATGATTTGTAAATGATTGTATTAACATTAAAATATGATAGTTGAAAACTTAGAAAAAAACCAAGATTTATTTTAAATGGTATTCTAATCTCTGCCTCTTTATCCAATTTCAAATAACAAATATTACTTATATCAAACTATAAACATCTTAATAGTTTATAACTCGATATCAATATTTTTAAATATTATTGTTTTTAAAGCAACTCCTTATAAAATCTATCTCAACTTATATACATTTTGAGAATGAATAAAAATCTAATATTAGCTTTCAATCGGAACAAAATTTTATTGAGGATGAAAATTTTAGATAATATAGTCATTAACATTTTGCTAAATTTGTGTTTTGAGCCTTCGAATGCCTCTCTATATCAAAATCTGATAATATATTTATTTTGTTTACCTTAATGTATGAGTATCAATTTTAATATCGACTTCAAAAAAAAAATCACTTAAGCTCTGATAAAGTAGGCAAAGTGTTATTTCTGATGATCATTAGCATGACCATTTGAAAGAGAAATGTTGGCAGACTACAATTAGAATATAGTTTTCTTTATTTCTGATAGAAAAAGGTGACTAAATTATTCTTTGATCTGTATTTGTCATAGAATTTCTAGCATTTAGTATTAAAACTTAAAAAAGAAAAGGTTTCTATGGAGAAATTTTGAATGAAAAATTATAATGGACTGCTTAGCCAAATTAATACAAAAAGTGCTTAGTAGCAACTGCTTCATCTAAATATCTGTTTTAATAAACTTGCAGTTATACTCACAAGGCCTAGTAAAGGATTGCCCCAATAATTTTAAGTAGTTTTTAACTCGAATTAATTTGTCAACCTTAATAATTTTAATGATAATTTATTCACTCTCAAAATACTTATAGTAATTAAATATTTTCATACCCTTTCCTTTATATAGCATCTCATAATTTAATTTAGAAATGCAATCACTCTAATTTATTATAAAGTGAATTTTCAAATTAAAAACTTTCTATAGCAATAAAAATTATATAATTTATGCCTGGAATGTCTCTATGAATCAATACAATGGTTAGAAAACATTTGCAGAACAAAATTGTAGTTCTTCTTAAGCAATATTCGTACGTTAATCTCAAAAGTATCACTTTTTACTTTACAAAATTTATAGCTCTAAATTCACTACTAATTTACATTAGATTTTAAATTTATGAGGTGGTCCCCATTATTATAATTACATGCTATATTTGCCTTCTGTTAACTGGTCATATAGACAAAAAATATTGTTTACATAGATAGTAAAATCAAACACTAATAGATTTATTCAAACTCTATTTATGATGATAAATGCTAATAGAGTGAAGAATATCTGATTTTCCCTATTTCAATAACCATCCAAAAAATAACTTCTCTAGTCACTGTAGCTATGCTAGCTCAAAATTATAATAGAGTAATTACAAAATTACAATTATCTCTTAATGAATGTTCAAAAAGATCCAATATATGTCATTCATCCGAATGTTTTAATTAAGAATTTTTTTCATACCTTTTTTCTTTAAAAAAATTCTCCATTATATATACAGATTAAGGATTGTAGCATTGAGATAGCCCAGTTAATAATTGTTTAGGTATATAACATATTATTATAATGATTTAATTACATATATACTTCTGGTAAAGATTTGCTTAAAATCTTTGACTTAAACTTCCATAAGCTTCTAATTAAAACTTTTCATTTTTATTCAACTATAATTCGCGTTTATATCCATAAGAGTACAGTGAATTTAATAAATAAAAATTTGTATTCCTTAATGTGGTGATTCTATCATTACTCATGATGAGGAATGAAATGATTGTTTAATGCATATATTCTTGCTAGAATGCTAATAAGGAAAATATTTTGGAATGATAAAATAAATATGAATTAGATTTTCATAGAAAACAATTTATTCCTAAATGTTAGAATGGAATAATATTATAATATGAACTATGTGATGATGATTATAGAATAAAATTTGATGGTTGTTATAGATATTAATAGGGTTGTTAAATAGAATGCTTATTATTTTTTGAAAATAAACGCTATTTATGCTAAGAAGGATGGTAATTTCAAGAGTATTAGTGTAAATAGATTTGTTGAGGTGGATTATTGGCAATTTTATTTAACGAATAATATGACAATCCTGGAAATATTAATTTTGTTGATTGTAAATATTAATATGGTCATGAATTTTTGGTTTGTGATAATTTCTTAAATTGTGAATAATGTATATATCATTATGAGATTATGGATGAAAGGTTTACAAGTTTTTGTAAACAATATAATTACTCCTATTTTTTAATAATGCAATATTCCTTATGATGGATGTTTAATTACAAATATGAAATTATTTGTGGAAGTGATAATGGATACATTAAATTTTGAACAATTGATTTGGATAAATGCTTTTTTAGATCTTACTTAAAATGTCTTGATATTTATAATTATTAGAAATGGAATTGGTTTAAAAAACTTAAGAAAAAAACTGATAAGATAATTTTTATTTTATAAACTTCAAATAAAAATTGCTTTATATATGTAGAAATATCATGATTAATAAAGACAGAAAATGCTATTTAGAATCTCAAATGCCCTNATCTATTAATAAATGCTCAATAAGATCCAATTCATGTCATTCATCCGGATGTTTTAATTAAGAATTGTTTTCATACCTTTTTTTCTTTAAAAGAATTCTCCATCATATATACAGATGAAGGATTGTAGCATTGAGATAACCCAGTTAAAAATTGTTTAGGCATATAACATATCATTATAATGATTTAATTACATATATACTTCTTGTAAGGATTTGCTTAAAATCTTTGACTTAAACTTCCATAAGCTTCTAATTAAAACTTTTCATTTTTATTCAACTATAATTCGCGTTTATATCCATAAGAGTACAGTGAATTTAATAAATAAAAATTTGTATTCCTTAATGTGGTGATTCTATCATTACTCATGATGAGGAATGAAATGATTGTTTAATGCATATATTCTTGCTAGAATGCTAATAAGGAAAATATTTTGGAATGATAAAATAAATATGAATTAGATTTTCATAGAAAACAATTTATTCCTAAATGTTAGAATGGAATAATATTATAATATGAACTATGTGATGATGATTATAGAATAAAATTTGATGGTTGTTATAGATATTAATAGGGTTGTTAAATAGAATGCTTATTATTTTTTGAAAATAAACGCTATTTATGCTAAGAAGGATGGTAATTTCAAGAGTATTAGTGTAAATAGATTTGTTGAGGTGGATTATTGGCAATTTTATTTAACGAATAATATGACAATCCTGGAAATATTAATTTTGTTGATTGTAAATATTAATATGGTCATGAATTTTTGGTTTGTGATAATTTCTTAAATTGTGAATAATGTATATATCATTATGAGATTATGGATGAAAGGTTTACAAGTTTTTGTAAACAATATAATTACTCCTATTTTTTAATAATGCAATATTCCTTATGATGGATGTTTAATTACAAATATGAAATTATTTGTGGAAGTGATAATGGATACATTAAATTTTGAACAATTGATTTGGATAAATGCTTTTTTAGATCTTACTTAAAATGTCTTGATATTTATAATTATTAGAAATGGAATTGGTTTAAAAAACTTAAGAAAAAAACTGATAAGATAATTTTTATTTTATAAACTTCAAATAAAAATTGCTTAATATATTTAGAAATATTATGATTAATAAAGACAAAAAATCCTATTTAAAATCTCAAATGCCCTTGCTTTTTATCATAGAAATATAAGAGCTTAATGATTCTCTCTTTATATTTTTAGACTTTAAGTTTTAGGTTTAAGCTTAAATTTCTCATAATAAGGCTTTCAACTTATGATATTACTTTATATTAAAATAAACTCATTCTATCTTCAAAAAAAAACTCTTATTAAAACTTTATTGATATGACATTCAAGAGTTTATATTTAAATACATCTTTAATCAAAATTAAAAAGAAAATTCTGGAATCCTTCTTATTTAAGAATTACTTGAATTGTGGTAACTTTACCTTTTTTCTAAAAAATATTATTCTTAAAGAAAGCAAATTTCAATTATATAATCATAAAAAAAGGTAACTAATAAAAATTAAGGCAAATTAATTACATAATCTGAAAAACTAATGATATAAAAAAGTGTTAAGAATTGAGATTGTTAAGATAGCAAGAATAGTCTATGTCTCTAATTTAAAAGCATATCAAGTAAGCATAAAAAATTCTAAGCCAAAGTTAAATAACTAGAAATGCATAATTATTAAAATTTAAGAATAAACTTAATACACTCTTTATTTAGACAACTTAAAATAAAATAAATAATATATATAAATCTATTATCCATCTTCGATAATCTAATATAATAGATGAGTCTTTCAACCTAAATAAACAATTATATCAAAGTATATTTCTTAGTAAATTTATCATAAGGTTAAAAGTTAATATAAAAGATGGTTGAATTACATATACTTTATTAATACAAAAGAGAATAAATTGTTAATCAGATGATATATCATTTAAAAGAATTAAGTGAATTTAAATAAATCTCAGGATATATCAATATAAAAGATAGAATTAAATGAAAATTATTAGTTAAAACTTAAACCAAAAACCTGAGAAATAGAGATAAAAAATATATATATGAAAAATTAATACATTAGTAGAATTAGATCATAAGAAAATATTATATTATAAACATAATCAACATGAAATCGATCTAAGATATAAATATCTTTAGAAAATTAAATATTATTGATTAATCTTATTCTATTAAAAGGCATGATAGTATTAGTAATTTAAATTTAACTTAAATTATCACATCCTGAGAAACGTAAATATTTAATTTCCACAAATGCAATTTATGATAATGGTTTTCAATAAATTTTTCTGGGTCAAACAGCCAAATACAAAATGGAAATAAGCAAGTCTAAATAGAGAGTCAAGACCTAATCCAGCTTTATTGGTTGTTACCTAAGTTGGTTAATATTTTAGATTGTTAAATATTTGAATAATGCAAAAATACATTTTTATAAGTTAAAATTACCAAGACGAAAGAAAGAAAAAGTACTTTCGTTTTGCCCTAGTTAGAGAGATTCTTTAGACTAATATTCACAGTCTAAAGGCCAATAGCTCAGCTAGAGCTCCTAAACCGAATCCACCTAAGGGGACAAGAAAAAAGAAAAAGGATTGGGTTTTTTCATTTTAAATTAAATTTTAATTCATTTCACATATAGTAGAACACTAATGGCTACTTGATTTTATTATAGTATCGAGGATATCTCTCAAATGCTTATTTTTCATATCTTTGTGTATAATTTTTAAGTTGATCAATAACTTTCATTAAAGGGAGCAATCATTTTTGAAGGATAGAATATAAAGATGAAAAGAAAGTAAGGAATAGGAATTTAAGTTTATATTATCTTGAAAAAAGTTTAATTTATAAAATAAACCCTTCTATTCTAGTCCACAAGTATGAATGCAAAAAAGAATAGAATTTAAATGCTTTTAAATTCTTATTATTTAAAAAATTTCAATTTCTTAAAAAAAATTTTAATTACACAATAGTTTAAATTTAAATAGAAAATCAAACTCTTAATATAAGTATTATTAAGCCATACAACAGATTAAAAAAAATAACAAAAGATTAAAAAGTGACCCCTTAAAAAGAATAAATTTATCCTGAACAATTTGACTCCTTATATATATTTGGAGACTAATTATAAGTTCAAAATAGTCAAGATTACATAAAATGGAAAATCAACAGACTTGATTTTCAATAATTTTACTCAAATTAGATCTTTAGAAATTTCTTATCCAGTAAATTTCAAATTTAGAATTAAACCCTTTTAAAGTCTTATGTCTAATTTAAGCCATTAAAAAGTTGATGGCTTCTTTTACCCTTTCAAAACTAGTTTCATTCATAACTTTTTAGTTTTTTCCAATAATAATATTTATAATTTTGATTAAAAGCTTTATTCAATTCTTTTTTGTTCTAGTTAATATGCTATAAACTTTTATGACCAAAGAATTATCATTTATTTTGTTATTTCTTTTAAAAAATACATTTTTAAATTTATTCCTAATGATAAGACTTAGCTTTAATGAACAGGTTTCTAAAATAATAATAATATTGAATGATATGTAATGATAATGATTCATTGGAATCTCAATTTTAAATTGTAATTGTTTTTTATTAATTGCTATCAACACATTTAGTCTGATAATGTCTTAAATCTAAATCCAGATTAAAAGGAGGCTTTGAAGATCTAAATTTGCATTTCTAAAAGAATTTTGTAAATGGGCATTAATCGTAGTCTCCGTTGGGTAAATTATAGAAATAGTTCTGATCATGATAAAAAGGTTCAAAGCAGCTAATACTGTTCCATTGATAATTAATAAATGAAACAACGGGATAATGGTTCCATAGCATAAAGAACCTACCACTATGACTAAAAACAAATTAGATAAATAGAGGGTAAGTTAGATTGTTGATAGTTACTAAGTCATGAACTTTTTTTGGCCATCTTAACATATGTACTCTAACAGCAATCTAAAGGTTAGCGTCGAAGGGAGGAATATTACACCAATATATAAATATTTTTCCCAAAAACTATTCTTCCACATATGCATTAGGTACCTTAAACCACCAAGGTTCATTAATGGAAGTTTAAGATATTTGATTTCCAAATGAACTAATAAATATTTCTTAGCATGAATATTTAATTCTTTCTTCATCTTCCTAGATCTCTTTTATTTTTGATTTCAGAGCGATTGTTAGCATTTAACTCATTCTCTGTTTAATTGCTTTACTACTTGTTTGGGCTAATGTCTCAATTATTTTATTCATTGGTTTAAAAACAAGATTCTTAATCCATCCATGGTTCACCCTCTCCATGTTTACTTGCCAAGGCCTAATATATCCCAATTCATTCTACTAGTAAGCTTCAATATAGTTATATTATCCACTATAGAATATAAATTAATATTCTTATTCGTTTATTTTAAAGTAATTGAGTCTTTCAATTAGAGCTTATTTTTTTTTAATCTCATCCTCAACTTCATATTCTTGCATAGTTTAGAGAAGTTACTATTCTCCTATTCCTTTTATTATTACAGAAGTTCTTTTTATTACTAACTATTTAAGATCTATTCTTCTAGCATATGATCCATTACTTACAGGTTTTACTATTAAATGACATAATTCTTTTTATTCTCTTATTTCATTTGTTTTGACATACATTTTTTACTTTAATAAGAGTTTAGACACTATTTATATATTCCTCCCAGCTTTTTTAATCACTATTTGTAGCTATACTAGAATCCTCTCCATATTGCATTGTTAATTTAGTCTTCCAATTTACTTGAGCAAGAAATCGTAACTGATTTCTGTCTAGTATATCTCAGACAACATATTAATCTATTGGCTCTACAATGTTACATGTTAAATATTATCTTACCATCTTAATAGGTGTAGGGATCCAATGATTTTATATCTTAAGGAGGTTTAAATAATAGGGGAGTTATGCTTGGGAACACACCATAAGAGTGGACATACACTTACCTTCCTTAATTATTAATTTCAGTAATGACTTCTTTAATTATTTCTTTAGGGTTTGGGTTTGGGTTTGGGTTTGGGTTTGGGTTTGGGTTTGGGTTTGGGTTTGGGTTTGGGTTTGGGTTTGGGTTTGGGTTTGGGTTTGGGA